TTGTATGCACAATATAAAGTCATGCATCAGATTGATTCATAATAAAAGCAAGTGATTGCCCACGCAGGGGCTTAGACATTGGTTTAACACTGCATATACATTTGGTCGTCTGCGTAGAGGCGGGTTTGTCCTAGCCTGTGTTTGTTTTTTTTTTTTGTTTTTTTGTGCACATTTGGTTGCTTTGTGTTTTATGCTCTTATGTACTGTATTGCCTTTTTAGTTTGGTTATAGCGTTAAGTAAGTGTTTTGTGTTAACTGGTGTGTTTAAGTGCTGCGTGTTTGCTAGTTGGTAAATGCAAATTGTCGCCTGTGCAGAGGCAGCTTAATCAGCTTGCTAATCAGAGTCAGACATTAAGCGATAATCTAAGATACAAAAACTTTTTCAACTTTCAACATAAGGAGCATATTTGTTTTTAGTCTGCTGCCTTAATATATAACAAAGCTATTTGGATACCAGGTTTACAGTAATATGCGACTGTACAGGCTATCATGCAGCAGTCAGCAATTAAATATGCATCAATATCTACCTTTGGCCCCTATGGGCATTCTGGCATTAACTGTACATTCCTGTGATATTTTAAACCAGCATCTTATAATCAAAATAGATAAAAACTGAAAAAATGAATGCAGCTGTTAAGACCCAAATGTGAGCTATCTATCAGCAGGGTGGCTCTGTTAGTCTCCATGCTTGTCTGGGGGAGTCTCTCATGGTGCTGCTTCCACACTGTCCCTGGGGTGCCTGGCCTCCTTCCCTCACCCTCACGCCGATCTCCGCTCACCGGTCTGGTCCCCCACAGTTCCGTGGGCACTCGGGAGCTGAAACTGTCCGTTGGGCCCCACCACATAAGTCCTCCGGCCGTCCACTCCCTGCACCTCCCCGGCCCCGCTTGGGTCCCTTGAGGAGTGTGTTCCTGCGTCTCACCCGACGCCGGCCGCATGCTTGGAGCCGGCGTCCGCCCCCCACGACCACCGGTCCGTCGAGGGGGGCGGCACAGTCCCGCCCCACCGGCTCACAGCGCCAGGGACTAGGCTTTCTGGGGACCCCTGACCCAAATGCCCGGGCACACACCTCTCCCGTGGTCGAGGTCACGGCCTGGTGGATCCGTCCGGCACCTGGCCCTGCCAGGGCCCGTGTGAGCCGCCCATGTTGGTCCCTTTTGGTGCTTCTCCTCCTGGGGTAAGTCTTCGGGTGGGCTGTATTTGTTGCCTTTACCCGTTTAGGCGGGCAGCTTGGACCCCGTGCGGTATCTTCCACCTCGGAGGGTGCCGCCGCCATGCGGCTTGGGTTACCCCCCACCCCCAGCCGGATAGGGGAAAACAGGGGGGGGGAGCGGAGCCGGGCCGTCTCTTGCCTTGGAGAATTCTTCCAGGTAGCTGTTATGGCCGGTTTATCATTGCCCCCCGCCTGCCTGTCAGTTCGTGTCGGCGGGAGTCGCCATCTTTCATGGTGCAAAGGCCTGCTTGTTTGTTTGCAGTGTTCCTGGCTTGTGATCTGCCTCTGTTTGGGATCCCCAGGAAGCTTGGGTGCTGTTTGGTAAATGTGGATCCGCCAAATCCTTTTCAGGGTGTTGTGGGCGCTTATTTTGCGGGTTTTTTCCGGGCTCAGGCCAGGAGGCATAGTGTGTTGCTGCCTCTCAGTTCGGCGGCCCGGCCCCGCCCCCCTTGGTTTTAATTTGTTTCTTTTATATTTATTTCCCAATGGTACATACTGAGAAATGTACCTTTGTAATATTTGTTGGAAGATGATCCATTTATCCTCAGTGTTCTTTTCACTAAAGAGTTTATGCCAGTCAATATATTGTAAAGCTTTCCTTAACTTATTGAAATTAGCCTTTTAAAAATTATATGTTTTAGTATTCCCCATGTGCTTTTGTTTTTTTGAGTTTATTTCAAAGGACACTATATTGTGATCACTATTTCCCAAGTGCTCACCTACTTGAATGTTGGTCAAAAGATCAACGTTGTTTGTTAAAACTAGGTCCAGACAAGCATCCATTCTAGTTGGTGCTTGTACAAGTTGTGACATGAAGGTGTCATTTAACAAGTTTAAAAACCTAATTCCCTTTGCTGAGGCACTAGTCCCTCTGTCCCAATTTATATCCGGTTAATTAAAATCTCCAATAATTAAAGTGTTACCTAGATTTGCAGCTTTCTCAATTTGCTCAAACAGCTGTTGTTCCTCGTCAATATTAACATTAGGTGGTTTATAACATATCCCAACCAATAGTTGGTTTCCCTTTTCCCCCAAGCAGATATTTACCCATAAAGCTTCCACATTATCCTCCTCGCATTCCATTTGCTTAACATTTGCTTAACATTTGGCTTTAAATCATGTTTGACATACAAACATACCCCACCACCCTTCTTGTTTTTCCTATCCTTCCTAAATAACATGTACCCATTTAAGTTAGCTGCCCAGCCATGTGTCTCATCCCACCATGTTTCAGTTATGCCTATTATATCATATTGTTTAGTGTATGCTAATGCCTCTAGTTCCCCCATTTTATTATTTAGGCTCCTTGCATTAGTAAGCATACATTTAATATTATGCGTCACTTGTATATTTTGTGAATTTTCAACATTACACAGCTTCTCTGTTCTGAGCTTGCCTCTCCCCCCGTTTCCACCCCCCTTATACTGTGCTAAAGCCCATCTCCTTTCTGTCCTATCTCCATTTTGTAGATTGCTATGACCCTCCCCCCTACTACTAGTTTAAAATCTCCTCCAACCGTCTAGCCATCCTATCCCCCAGCACTGCAGACCCTCTCCCGTTTAGGTGCAATCCATCACCACTATAAAGGTTGTACCCAATCGCAAAGTCGGCCCAGTGCTCTAAAAACCCAAAACCCTCCTTCCTGCACCAAGACTTAAGCCACGCATTGACCTCTCTAATCTCCCGCTGCCTTTCCACTGTAGCACGCGGCACAGGTAATATCTCAGAGAATACCACCTTGGAGGTCCTTTTCTTAAGTTTGCTACCTAATTCCCTGAAATCATTCTTTAGGACCTTCCATCTTCCTCTTACTTTGTCATTGGTACCAACATGGACCATGGCCGCTGGGTCATCCCCAGCCCCTCCCAATAATCCATCCACTCTGTCAGCAACATGCCGGACCCGAGCACCCGGGAGACAGCAACTGTCCGGTTGAGCCGATCAGAGTGGCAGATTGCCCTATCTGCTCTCCTAATGATAGAGTCCCCTACCACCACAACCTGTCTTGCCTTCCTTACATTTTGATCCCCACCCGTACTAGGGGGGCTGTTAGCTCGGCTGTTAGAAGTAACAGCTTCCTCTAATACAGCTACTCCTGAGCTGATGCTCCCAACATCTTCCCTCAAACGGGCAAATCTGCTAGGTTGCATCAGATCACGACTAGCTAGCCCCTTTCCTCTTCCCTCCCCCCCTGCTTCCTCGCCCCACTGTCACCCAGCTACATGCCTGTTCCCCATCTGTCTTATCTCCTCCCTCTCCACTACCTGTCCCCACTAAACTCTGCTCAGTGAGCAGCAGACTCCTCTCAAGATTATCAATCTCCCTCAATCTTGCGATTTGCTTCTCAAGATCTCCAATCTGAGCTTCCAGAGAAGCCACTCGCACACAACCATCACAGAGGTATGGACCCTGGATGGGTACATCCAGGCATCCATACATGCAACAAGATGTGCATTGAGTTAAACCAGCAATCTTGCTAACACTCATTTCCCCTTTAAACAGTAAATAAAAACAGTTACCTTGATAGTTTAAACCCCTTGTTAGTGTTAACTCCTGGTTTTCTAACTCCTACTTGAAAGAGTCTACTTAATAGAGGCTGCTTTCAAATAATGTGAGCAAGCTCAGTGAGTTAGGGGTGTGCCTTTATGGGGATACAAATCCCACACAGGTGCAAACAATGAACATTCCCCCAATCAATCAAGCAGCAGCACAAAAAAAGGGGGGAAAACCAGAACACAAAAAAAAAAAGTAAATTTAAAAAACAAAAATATATATATATATATTTTTAAACCTTACAAACTTTAAAGATTAAACAAAAATAAAATACAAACCACTCTCCACAGTATACAAACCACTCCAAGTAACTCCTGGTTTTCTAACTCCTACTTGAAAGAGTCTACTTAATAGAGGCTGCTTTCAAATAATGTGAGAAAGCTCAGTGAGTTAGGGGTGTGCCTTTATGGGGATACAAATCCCACACAGGTGCAATTAATGAACACTCCCCCAATCAATCAAGCAGCAGCACAAAAAAAGGGGGGGAAACCAGAACACAGAAAAAAAAAAAAAAAAAATTTAAAAAACAAACACTTTTTTATTTTTTAAACCTT